TTACACATAGTCCACCAGGAGGCGCCAACACAAAAGTCAGAGACTTCACATGAGATTTGGACCATCTTGTGGGGGAAAAACAGATTACTTCCTACTCATGAGCGCCCCCTCTGGTGGGGAAACTTATTTTCAGGAATACAAACTTTTTCAGAACACCGGTAGACAGCAGCCATTACCGAAGAACATGTGTTTGTTGTTGTTCCAGGTGCGGCTCGGTCACACACTAATGTCATTAGTTTATTATCATTACTAAGGTGCAGGACTGATTTTTCCCCTTTTTTCACATCATGTCTCCTGCCTGGATCTGTTATTGTCTCGCTCTGAAGCACGGAGGAGTGTCAGAGGTGAGCTCGTTTTAGCTGCTTTTAATGACGTGGTCTCATTTCCGGACTCAGGCATTTTGTGAGTGAAGCCGATATTTCAGTTAAAATACATAAGTAAAAAATATTTATCCGAGTATAATACTCCCAACTTTATGGATGATTTTATGGATTTAATTTTATGTATTATACTTGAATAAATACGGTAATTTCTTTCTGAGAATCACCTTTCAGTGATCTTACCCATTCCTCAGTCTTTGCTTTGGTGCATTTTTGTTTATTTGTTGTTTTTTTTTACATAGTTTCCATTACATTCTGCGTAAATTAAATCTAAATTTGCGTAAATTTTCTGCCCTGTTTTTTATTTATTAAGTATTTTAACACAGTAGCTGCAGCCTCTTTGCCTTTGTGCCTTTCTCTCTTCTCTTCTCCTCCTTCTATAAAAAAGCAATAAATTGTGTGTGTTACATTGTGTGGGATAGATGTGCTGTGTTTGTGCGCATCTTGCTTGTGTTGCATCGTGTTGGTCAGGACCTGGCCGTTAATGTGTGTGATGCCACGTGCGCCATGTGCACGAGCCTATGTTTGTGTGGGTCAGGTGCGGTGATGGTTTTGTGTTTACCATCTGATAAATTCCTGCAGGCACTTCTGTGTACATCTCTCAGCTACTACCACACCAAGATGTGGAACAAAGTCTGTAAAACTGAATGAAATAAAACTATTTTTGTGGGGGGGCTAAGCTCCATTGGTTGTCACAGCCATCTTGAATGGTGTTATTTCCTAACACCTAAGATCTTGTGCAATCTGTTAGCACTCAAGGTTTTGTAAATTAGCATTAGACACAATTGACCACAGCATTCTTCTTGAAAAGCTGAATAAATAGGTATTAGAGGACCAGCATTACAGTGGGTATCTAGCTATTTGAAGGATAGGAAGTAGTTTGTACAAATAAATGATGTAAGATCTGAATTCTGAAATATCACATGTGGAGTTCCTCAGGGTTCTGTACTTGGACAAAAGCTGTTTATTTTATACGTGAATGACTTGGTAAATGTTTCAGGGTTTTTTAAATGTGTTCTATTAACAGATGATACACATTTTTCTTGTATGAAATGGATGTTGGAGATGATGCAGACCGAATTTGTAAAAATTGGTTTAAACTTAATAAATAATCATTATATTTGGATAAAACTAACTATATGATATTCAGTAATAAAAAGAGAACTGTTGATGTTCCATTTAGAGTTTATTGTGTTGAGCTTTGTAGAGTCAGTGAGGGTTTTTGGGTGTTATGATTGATGAAAAATTGACATGGAGACCTCATATAAGGTCTCCACCTCTGAGGGATCGATGCACGTTAGTTCAAGGAAATTTGGAAAGTGATTATAAAAATGTTGGTTCAATGTGTTTGTTTAAAGGAGACCAATTATGGTTCCTAGAAATGTTTATGGTATGTCTGTGGGCTATCCAGACCATGTTCATTCAATTTAATGCACAAAATAATTCTCAGATAATAAAATTTCCCATTTTCTAGTTCTGCCTGCTCTGACTTCTGTTCAGAAGAGCTGTTTATGTTAATGAGACACTGTGAAGTTCTTATTTATCTCCTCCTCGGCACGCAGGGAAAGGAG